ATTGCACACAAACATTTCTACATTATTACAACAAAATATATTTATATATATGTATATATATATATATATATATAATCATTATTGTCGATTATACGTCAATTTGTGAATATGTTATAATAGTAGGGTAAGATTATTTTTGGTGTGAATCACCAATGATAACCCTTTAAGTCTGAAGGCCTGTTTCCATTGGGGTCCTGTTGGTGAATCGGACAGTACACTGTCACAATACTCTTTTCTGAAGTGTAATACTCTTTTTAACGTGCACATGGGCCATATTGCACACGGGCGGGACCAAAATTACTACATTATTACAACGATATAATAATTATTTGTATTATATATCTTATTTATTTATACTGTAAGCCATTTAATTATAATATGATCGTGGGTCTCTTACCGTCTTGGCAGTCAGTACCGGCGTAGCCAAACGTACACAGACACTGGTAGCCGTTCACGAGATCAACGCACGTTCCACCGTTTTGACAAGGGTTTGATGCACACTCATTAATGTCTGTGAAAGAATACAAATAAAGTGAAAGAGGGCAGACGAAGAAAGAAGGGGAAAAAAAACACCATAAGCATAAAATTAAGTTTTGTTTGATAATCTAGCTTGAATAATAATAATAACTATAATGGCAATGTTAGAGTGAAGGGGAGTGTATCTTATTAACACAGTTTTGCTTTCAGTCTTTATTTCAATATTATATGTAAATGGCATAATACATTTTCTTTTGTTCTCTAGATGATAAAGAAGTGTTTACTATTAACTTGGTAATAAACTCACTTATGTCACAATTTGTTCCTGTGTAGCCTGGCTCACAAACACACTGGTATGCGTTGACTAAATCAACACAAACTCCGAAGAGACAAGGGTTCGAAAAACACTCCTGGATATCTATAGGAGAGACAAGTTATATGGAGAGAAATCAGTAAATATTATAATCACTATAATGATAACGATACTGATGATAATGATGAAGGTGACGACTATGGCAGTGCAGTATCTAGGGGTGGGCGGGGGGCGCACAAGCCCATCCAAAATTACTCGCCCCCACCCCAAGCCACCATCCCCCCGAAAAAAAAAATCGCTGTAAATTAGTTAAAAATCACATTATTTTGCGAAATAGCGCCCCTCAACTAATCATCGAGCCCCCCACCCCAATTGAATGATAATGATGATAATGATGATGATGATAATGATGATGATGATGATGATGACAATATCAAGAGAAGTTCGTAGCTGCAATAATAATGTTCACTTACTCTGTCCACAATTGACACCGGTGTAGCCAGGGTCACATGTACAAATGTATGCGTTTATGAGATCCGTACACGTGCCAAACAAACATGGATCAGGTAAACAGTCA